TTCACAATAAGTAGATACTGCTATTATTCCCACTTTATAGATGAAGAGAATACGGCTCAAAAAGGCAAATTGCCCAAGGAGGGGATTACACAAGAGCATAAATACCAGGAGACAGTGATCATTGGGAGGCATTTTAGAGGCTGCCTACCATTGCCACGTAGTATGCGGTTAGAACAGGGATTCACACCCAGGAGTCTAATTCCATAGACCATGCTCTCAATCTCAAAACTATGTGGCCTTTTTGTTTAGCAAGTGGTGATTGAATCCCTACTGTATGCACAGCCCTATGCTAGGCACTAGGAGCATGGAGATGAAACTGTTTCCGTGTCCAAGCTCACTTATTATTCCATACCAGGATTATATTGTATTGTATTGTATTGTATTGTAATGTAATCTCTACACCCAATGTGGGGCTTAATTGGATATCAATTGGGTGACAGGACTCTTCTGTCAAAGAGCTGTGGCACAGGGCCAGGCTCCAGTCAGAGGTGGGGGACTAGAAACTCTCACAGGGAAATGGTACAACACAGATGGAGTGAGAAGAGTTGAGACCTGCTAGCAGTGCAGCTTCTCAGAAATCTTGCCTGGGCCTCTAGATCACTACTCTGGATGGTTGGCTAAATTCTAAATCCTCCAGGACAAGATTTGGGGCCTGGCCTACAGATGGGTGGAAAGAGTCTCATCTGTGGTGTTGACTCCGAGGAGCTCAGGAAGCTGAGTCAAGAGTGTATGGGGGTGGGGTAAATCAAATACTGCTGAAGTGTTCCATAGGTACACACAAGGCTTCTGCGTAGGTAGGGCAAACTGATGATTTCTCTCAGTAGTGCCTAAGTTACGTGTTCACTTACTCATCCATCTCTTCACTCATTCATTTATTCATCTGCTCACTCATTTATGAACTGGAGAAAATTATATTTGCCAGAACTCTTTTTTTTTTTTTTAAGATTTTATTTATTTATTTGACAGAGAGAGACATAGCGGGAGAGGGAACACAAGCAGGGGGAGTGGGACAGGGAGAAGCAGGCCTCCCACTGAGAGGGAACCCAATGCGGGGCTCGATCCCAGGCCCCTGGGATCATGACCTGAGCCAAACGCAGACGCCCAACGACTGAGCCACCCAGGTGCCCCTATTTGCCAGAACTCTTAGGGAGAAGTACTGTATGTGGTTAGAAGGAATAAAGCTGCTTCAGGTGAAGAGTAAGACACCCAAAGACTATGCTCAACAAAAGGAGATGGAGATTTATATGCTCCCCAAGGATGGTGGGTGTAGTAAGTACAGATTTTGTTTTGCTGAGTAAGGTTGTGCAAGTCTGGGCCAGAGCTGAATTGCTGAGGACATGGAGAAAATGAGCCCTGCCAGAAACATACCTTATCTTTGATTTCTCATCTCTTCACCTCTAATCCATCACCATGCCCTAGAGTTCACCTCTTAAACATCTCTTGGATCTGTTTCTACTCCATTCTCATTGCTACCACTCTAGTTCAATCCTTACTGGGATTCATTTGAACCACTGCAAAGATCTTCTAACTAGCCTTCCTGCTTCCCATCTCTTTTTCCAGTCCATTCTCCACATCACAGCCAGAGTGATCTTTCTAAATAAAGTTCAGATCTAATTATATTAATTCCCTGCCTCAAAAATCTTTTATTTTAAAAGATAAAGTCCAGAGGTGTCTGGGTGGCTCAGTTGGTTGAGTGTCTGACTCTTGATCTCAGCTCAGGTCTTGATCTTGGGGTCATGAGTTCGAGCTCCACATTGGGCTCTGTGCTGGGCATGGAGCCTAAAAAAAAAAAGATAAAGTCCAAACCCCATAGCACAACATTTAAAGCTTTTTCTAGTTTCAGCACATACCCATTTCCCATTTCCTGCCATTCCTTTTCTTTTGGAGTACTCAATGGCAAAAACTCTTCCTTCTGCCAAAATACTTTTCCTTCACTTCTCTGTTTGGACAATTCTTCTTTAGAAAAGTCCTTGTTGTCCTCCTACTATTGTCAAATAAGCACATCTTCAGGCCAATGCTTCTGGACTTGGTACAGATTCCATTAGTGGGAGCTACGCTGTCTACCACATTTATGATTCTCCTCCTGGGCATATTATAAGATTTCATTTTCTTGGATGTGGGTGTGTGACTTGCTTTGGCTAGTGAAATGGGAGAAGTGGAAGTTTTAAGAGCCAACACATGACTCACACACTTTTTCCCTCTGGTAGCTGCTCTGTCAGTCTTTATCTTAGAATAAGGAAGACAAAAAGCAGAGCACCCAGCCAACGCTTAATGGATATGGAGCAATAGTAAAAAATAAAACCTTGTTTAAGCTGCTGAGATTTGGGGATTGCTTTGTTATTGAATAACTCAGCATATCCTGATACACTATCTCTACTTTGACATCTTCTATAATTACCCAAAACCACCATGTTTCTACCTTACCTGACATGTGTAACACATTTTCTTCACACTGATTATCTGGAACTCATGACATATTGCCACATATTTCTTATTATCAGTCTACTGGTGTATGTCTTAGCTACCTCTGCACTTTTACTGAGGCTCCCTGAGGGCAGGATAGTGTTTGTTCTATGTTATGTCACACAAAGTATGGTTCATGGCTAAGGTATAAATTGTAATGAGTGTAGGGGTCAGATAGACTTTATTTTGAATCGCAATTCTGACACTTAGTGGCAATCTCTCTAAGCCTCAGTTTCCTCATCTGGAGTAAAATGGAGTAGCCATATATATCCTACAGGGTTTTTCTGAAGTATGTGGATAACAGGTGCAACATATGTACAAATAATGGCATACTGTAGTTATTATTGTTCCCTTATTTGTTTTTATTATCATTATAGATTGTGTTCAGGAAGTATTTGTGCACACGTCCTTCATTGATTGAGGTTTAGTGGTATGTGCATTGGACTTGGAATCAGAAGCCCTGGATTTAAGGCATAGCTTTTGTCACTAGCTTTATGACCTTGGGAAAGTCACTTACCCTGGCTGCATTTTTGCATTCTCAACTATAAAATGTAAATGCTAATAATACCTGCCGTACAGGGATTTTATAAAATTTAAGTAAGCTAATATATGAAGAGATGTTTTATACATGCTCAAGTATCATGCATTCTAAAATTGTAATGAAACAGAAGATTGGCTGGTCCCTCACATAAGGACTGTGTGGACATACGTGAAACATCCCATGTGCTCCAATAACACTTTACTGTTGGTCTTGTTTTTGCTTGCTTGCTTATATGTCTGTCTTTCCAACTAGACTGTGATCTGCTTGAGATAAAGAATTGTGTTGGGGGACGCCTGGGTGGCTCAGTTGGTTAAGCACCTACCTTCGACTCAGGTCATGATCCCAGGATCCTGGGATCGAGTCCCGCATCGGGCTCCCTGCTCATCGGGGAGCCTGCTTCTCCCTCTCCCTCTGCCTGCCGCTCCCCCTGCTTGTGCTCTCTGACAAATAAATAAATAAAATCTTTTTAAAAAAAAAGGATCGTTAAAGGATTTTAAGCAAAATATTTGTTTCTCCATATGTAAGAGCAATATTTGCTTATTGTAGAGGAAATAAAAGTGCATGAAAAAGTTTAAAATCCCTGTAATTCTTGACTCTCATACAGAGATAATCACTATTAATCTTTTGATGTTTTCTTCTCTGCATATATAGTTACAAAACTGCTATTATATCACATGTACAAGCATTGTCTCCTGTCCCAACAAATATTTTTGTGCATAGGGCTGATTTTCTAATTTTGTAGCAAAAGTTTTGAGGAAGAAAATTTCTGTGTTAAGAGTGCAAATATTTTTTTTCCTGTATTTTTTTATTATGTTAATCACCATACATTACATCATTAGTTCTTGATGTAGTGTTCCATGATTCATTGTTTGCATATAACACCCAGTGCTCCATGCAGAATGTGCCCTCTTTAATACCCATCACCAGGCTCACCCATCCTCCCACCCTCTCCCCTCTAGAACCCTCAGTTTGCAAATATTTTTAATGGTCTTGAGACTTCCAAATTGATTTTCAGAAAGACTGAACCAAGTTTCCATGAGCAAGGAGTGAGGTTGCACATCTCACTACATCCTCATCTATAATGGGAATTATAATTAAGAATAGTTAAAATCTTTTTTTAAAAAAAGATTTATTTATTTATTTATTTATTTGACAGAGAGAGACACAGCAAGAAGGGGAACACAAGCAGGGAGAGTGGGAGAGGGAGAAGCAGGCCCCCCGCTGAGCAGGGAGCCCAATGCGGGGCTTGCCCTTTTTTCTGTTGGAATTTCAATTATTTTCTTTCTTTCTTTTTTTTTCTTAAGTAAACTCTGCCCTCAACATGGGGCTCGAACTCATGACCCCGAGATCAAAAGTTGCCTGCCCTACTGACTGAGCCAGCCAGGCACTCCTCAATTATTTTCTTATTAATTTTTATGACGTTTTATTTATTTTTTAAAGATTTTTATTTATTTATTTGAGAGAGAGAGAGTATGGGGGGATAGGAGCAGAAGGAGAGGGAGAAACAACCTCCCTGCTGAGCAGGGAGCCCACCACAGGGCTCAATCCCAGGACCCTGAGACCATGACCTGAGCTGAAGGCACACACTTAACTGACTGAGCCACCCAGGTGCCCAAATTTTTATGAGGTTTTAAAAACCATTTTATTGGGGCGCCTGGGTGGCTCAGTCATTAAGCGTCTGCCTTCGGCTCGGGTCATGATCCCAGGGTCCTGGGATCAAGCCCCGCATCGGGCTCCCAGCTCAGCGGGAAGCCGGCTTCTCCCTCTCCCACTCCCCCTGCTTGTGTTCCCTCTCTCGCTGTGTCTCTCTCTGTCAAATAAATAAATAAAATCTTTAAAAACAAACAAACAAAACATTCTACCCACCAAGTACAATACAAGACACATAATAGGTGCTCCTTAAATATACCTTGGGTTATTTGTTAATTATTCTGAGGGCTTTTTAGGAACAAAAGTAGACTTTCTAGGAGGCTAACTCTTTCTTTTTCCTACCCAGGACACAGCTGGACAAGAGCGGTACCGGACCATCACAACAGCCTATTACCGTGGGGCCATGGGCTTCATTCTGATGTATGACATTACCAATGAGGATTCCTTCAATGCTGTCCAAGATTGGTATGAGATTCATTCATTCACCTCACTCATTCATTATTCATCAAACTGTCTAGAAAACCTAATGTGTGCTAGGCCTTGTGCTTTATGCCAGGGCAATCTGGATGAATCAGACATGGCTCCTGGCCTCAAGGAACTCACAGATGAGAGGAAAGCACAGATCAGTAAGTAATCAGTGAGAATTTCATGTGACATGTGCAGTAATGAGGAGAGGCACCAGGGCTGTGGGTGCCCAACAGAGGGCTCTGACCCGGCTTGGGGAGTCAGGGAAGGGACCTGGAGTTGCTGACACAGATGCTACATTTTGTAAGATGAACAGGAGTTAGCCAGGGGGTGAGTAAATAAGAATATTCCAGGAAAAGAATGCAGATGTGCAAAGGTGAGACGGTAAGTGAAGGGTACAGGGAGAGCAGAGGTCATGAAGAATTTTGTGTGCTGGGGTAAGGAGTTTGGAGTTTATCCCCTAGGTGATGACATTTGAACAGAGAACCAACAGGTTCAGATTCATGTTTTGGAAAGATCATTCTGGTCCCAGTAGTGAGTGAATGCACATATGACTCCCCCATAAAGTTTATCCCTAGGCTGGGGGTCAAGAGTACATCCAGTCCAAGTTTGTAAAGATTCAATATACAGTGGAAATCAGCACAGCTCCAGATGTACAACCTCTGAGTAACTTACATCTTTCTTTCTGGAGCATAACTCACCGGGAGAAGGGAGCTGAGGGGAAGGTTAGGTGAGAGGGAGGGCCGGGGCCCTTGCCCAGTGGAAAGGATGAGGATGGGAGAAGGTGGAACATCTGTGCCATGGCTCTTGTTCAGAATCAGAGAGGCTGAGCAGGCCAGGCATACAGCAGCAGCGCTGGCCAGCGCCAAGCTTATCTCCTGTTCCCCTTTGCATAATAGCCACCCTTTGAGGACTTCCCTTCTCCAACGGAACAGTTGCCATGATTTGTGAAGTACTGTGGGTGCCTTGTAGCCTTGAACTGAGAGTGGCTTTGCAGCCTGTCCAGGGTGCCATGCACATGTCTGTCCTTCATGGTGGTTGACATTCTCCTTCCCAGCCTACCGGACATCTTCCCCTTCCTCCTTTCTCTTTCTTCTCTTCTAACAAGTACCCTGTATCTTCCTTTTCCTCCTTTCCTTCCTCTCTTTTCTCTTTACTCCCTTTTTTTCTCTTCCCTTTTCTCTTCCTTTCCCCCCTTTTTATTCCCTCTCTTCTCTACGGTCATGATTTGTCTCCCCTCCTCCTCTTCCCCTCCTTTTCCATCTTTCCCTCCACCTCCTACCCTGGAGTGATTAGCTGTTTTTTTAAGTGTCTTCACACTGCTCATTCCCTGTTGGCCTGACCTTCCTCCCTTTCACCATCAGTCGCTGTTCATTCTGTCTCAGGAACACAGTGAGTTTAACACTTGGTGACAATTCCTCCAAGAATAACCTGAGTTGCTAATCTGGGAGCTGAGAGTGGATGAGGGTGGGAGGAGGGAGGAAGATGACAGGAAGAGGAGTATGGGGAGACATGGAGACTTGGCTCCAGTTACCTGCCTTGAGGCTAAAGATTGAATGTCTATTTCTCCCAAGCCCTGGCCTTTCAGTTTTGCCTCTGAACAACTTGGTCCTGGACTAGCCATCTAAGTCCCAGTGCTCAGCACACAACCTGGCTCTTTGTCAGCCCACAACAAATGTGGCTCAGTGAATTCTGTACCTTGAGAGAATGGCTTCTCCCCCTTAAAGAGAAGATTAGTGGGGGATCAGCTTTATGAGCAGAGTTGGTAATAGGTCCAGGTTGCAGTTAGGGTTGAGTTAGATTGAGTGTCAGTGTCAGGATAGGGTAACATTTAAGATCTGCTTCAGGATTAACCATTAGCTGGCTTACTCATTCATCAGACAGTTGCTGACACCTTCTGTGCTCTGTGCTGGGGACTGGCACTCCAAAGATGAATGAGACTATCCCTGCCTTCAAGGAGAGACTTATAAATTCAGCCAAATGTAGCAGGTGCCATGGTAAAGGTGTAGGGGACCAAAAGGAGAAGTAATCATTTCTATTTGATGGGGTGGTTAGAGACAGAGTTAGGCTCATCCCCACAAAGAGATGTATCCACAATATAAGGGTCCTATTTTATTCATTATATTAAAATTTTGTTTCTCATTATATAAGTAGCATATGCTCACTTTCAAAAATTTGAAAAATACAGAAAAGCATTTTTTTTTAAGATTTTATTTATTTATTTATTTGACAGAGAGAGACACAGCGAGAGAGGGAACACAAGCAGGGGGAGTGGGAGAGGGACAAGCAGGCTCCCCGCCGAGCAGGGAGCCCGATGTGGGGCTCGATCCCAGGACCCCGGGAT